CTTCAAGGTACAGAGCTGCTCATTTGTGAGAATTCAGGCTTCTGAAGGGGGTCCGTGCCACAACCAGCCATATCCAGCTTAGCACAAGCAAGTCATTGGTGTGTACTCATTAAATAGTAGGGCATCTGAGTCAAACTGGTCTTTTTTTTTATACATTTTTTTTAGTTGTAGATGGGCACAATGCGTTCATTTTATTTATTTATTTTTGTGTAGTGCTGAGGATGGAACCCAGCACGTGCTAAGCCAGTGCTCTACGGCTGAGCCACAACCCCAGCTCTCAAATTGGTCTTTTTCTTTTCCAGATGTCTATAGGATTCGAGAAGGATTCGGGAAGATCAGACATTGCCAGCCATTGCTCTCCGAATTTGCTGCTTTCATTAAGAAATGAGCATAGCTTTCAACACCCTTGTTTCCCTGCACCCACTACCAGGATCCATTATGGTCACCAAAGGCAATTAAACGAGTTAAGCAACTCCTTCATTCACTTATGAAACCCAGTATTAGGCACTAGGATTATAGAGAGGAACTCCCATAAAGAGCTTGAGATCCAGAAGTGAAGGCAGACAAGAGGCTGCAGGACAAGCTGGTACTGAAGGAGTGGGATGGAGTAGGATCTGAGTAGATGGGGTGATTACTTCTGTCCAGAGATCCAAGAATGGAGGAGGTAATGTTTAAGCAGGAGGTAATGTTTAAGCAGGATCTCGGAGTGGCAAATTATTTTGCAAAGGGGAGAAAGTGAGCAGACAGAATGTACAACAGTGAGGAAGAGCAGACTATGTGTACAGACCTCCCAGGAGGGCCAGACAAGCTCAACAGGGGCAAACAGCAAGGAGTGGAAAAGAGGTGATAGGGGAAAGGCAGATTGTGGTCAGACGGAAAAAGTCATCAAATGTCATAACCTTATCTTGAGAGTAAGCAAAGCTATCCTTAAGGAGTTTTTGCACAATCATAAGTCATTCTTGTTCTCTATACCCATTAATTTTAGCCTGTTTCTCCTTTAGAAATACTAAAACCTCAATAGAAATGAGAGGGCACTTGACTTCCTTGGGCAGGCCAGCACCATCTGCAAGACTCTCTTCTCACTGTGCATTTAGGGTAACTTGGGTGAGAACGAAGGACCTCACCTAGGATCCCCTACCTGTGAAATGAAGAAGAGCTGCTATCAGAGACAGGAAAGTCAGAGACCTCACAAAACCCCACCACATCACCAAGAACCATGGCTCTGAAGCCCTAAAAAAAAGGACACGTACCCCAAGACTTCCTTTGCTGTCAAAATATTTAGAAGAAGCATATTTAAATCACAGGCAGAACAATAAGTGCAGTGCAGAAGTAAACGTTCATGCTGTTGAAGAAGGCTAAACCATAAACATTTAGTCTAAAATGTAGCTGCCTCTCCTTCCGGGCCAGTGCCTAAAAGAAAAGCAGAGTTCTATAAAATGTGATCTGCCCGGGATTTTCTTACCCCCATGGCATGATAATTACGATGCCTCTCATTACATTTTAAAAGCTCATCCCTTCCGAGGTGACTAAAATCCTAGAGGAGGTGAGGGACGCTGCTTTGCATTTTTCCTCAATGTATTTTGCCCCAGCGAGGCAGTAATTCACTTCAGAAACAATGCAGAGAGCAGAGGAGGCTGCAATCACAACCTTGCCTCATTACTGGCCCGCCCCCTCCCTGCCACCTCCAGGCACTTCAAGGGCCCCTTCTCCCAGCATTTTAGGGATTATCTTTGCGAGTTTAATCAAGCTTTACATTAACTAGTTAACATGGTTAAGCCTTTGTGTGAGGAAAAAGACATTTGTCTGAAATTGTAGTGTACTGGATTCATTTGGTAGGGGGAGGACAAAGAGGCCCCAACATCAGTCTCAGCTCTGACCTTATCCATTCTAAAATGGATAAAGGAAAAGAAAAAAAATATATTTTTTTTTCCAATTTATAAAATTATTTTTAAAAAAATTTGACAAATAGTGAGCCACAGCTCAGAAAGCTCCTAGGTTGGAATATGCACATACCCAATGGACCATGCTTGTCAAGAATGAGCATGGTTCATGGGTCTTTGTGTTTTCATTAATAAATCTACTTGTGCCCTCTTAATTGACTGAGGAGAAAAAAAAAAACAGATTGGAAAATTTTGGGGGGTGGGTGAGAGGATGCCTGACGGGCTAGGGGAAAGGCGGGGACCCTTTTGAAAATTCTAGGGGATTGTTTATATAACTGAATCCTCCCTTTCATTTTCTGTAGGTATATTTTACGAATCACAATAAAGAAATGATTTTTTTTCTTAATTGAGGGCATTTTTTTTTTTAATGAAGCCGAGTAAAGATGTGAAGGTGAAACCTGAGATATAAGAAAAATAAAAACAGTTGGGGGGTTTCGAGACATTGTTTGTCTTAAGCGTGGTGGGGAGACGCTTGATCAAAAGCCCTGTTTTACTACAGTCATGCTCCATTATGGGAGGTGGGGACAGGCTGGCGGGAGGATGAAATGAGTCCTCTTTCCTACTCGACCTGGTTGCCAAAATCTCTGCCCACAAGTGAACCTATCGACCTGCAGGTACTGATGACCTCTGAAGCTCAATAGGAGTCAGAGCCAGAGGACAGATGCATTCCCAAGACCTCTTGGGGCTCACAGCTCTGAGCTAAGAAGCCTTCCCCCACCCTCCACAGATGATGCCCAAGTCATAAGATATGATTTGGGGATGCTCCCCTCACCTCTTGGGGCCTCAATTTCCCCATCTACAAAATGGAGGGATAACCATCCCTAGTCCAGACGCTACGACGGGATGTCCATAAAATCAAGTTTGTAAGGCAGATGGAAAATTCAGTCCATGTTAAGTTGGTTTGTTGGTTTGTTTCTCAGACTGAAAACAGCGAGGGTAAGTTCTTTTCTACTTGTTTGGGGACCCTCTTCTCCAAAGCCTCCACCTGGGTCACTTCCTTCCTATGCCTAGCCTCCACTCCAGCCTCCTCCCAGATGGCACAGTTCTCATCAAGCATGAGGCTGGTTTTGGGGACGTATTTTAGCTTTGTTTTGTTTCTCAGCCGAGTGATGGGTATTGATGTGGGTATCATTTTTATTTTTGCAAGCAATCTCGTTTCTCTGCAGAAGTCTGAGACAGGAGATTAAAGTGTCATGAAACAGTGTCTGTCACATATTCATATTCACTCACACAAACACACGCCCCTGCACATTGAGATTCCTCAGCGTGCTTCTCCCCAGCGTTACCCTCCTGCACGAGCACTGAGCCATTTAACTAAAACCGGAAACAAAGCCCATTGGCGTCAAACATCTTTTCAACACTTGAGATCTTAGGCACCATTTCCAGCTTTATAAGAGCCTGATACTTTGGGGCAAGTTATTTCTTCAAAATTCACAATTTAAAGCTTATAATGAACGAATATTGATTTCTCTCTCTCTCTCTCTCTCTCTCTCTCTCTCTCTCTCTCTCTCTCTCTCTCTCTTTCTCTCTCTCGCACATTTACATACAGGAAAGTGAAAAGGGAGAGATCTTTTTCCTCTGTCACCCCACACACTAATCCCATTTTTTAGGGATCGTCATTATAACGAATGACTTATAAATGTGTTTTAGGGAGTCTTTAGGAAGCTTTTCCTTACACACAAAATAATCCCTGCATAGAGATGAAAAGCAAGGATGCCAGGGCTGAACTGCCTGGCTTTGGACCCTGATGTAACTCAGAATCAAGTTTGGGTTGATTTAATTTTTAAGTAAAAATTAAAGAGAGCCCCCCCCCTTTTATAATAGGGGCTCTTCAGAAATTCGGGCCCATTGAGGTCACATGACGATGGTTCTTTCAAATCTTTGTAAACTCAAAGCTAAATTCTGTGACCACTGGGCTCTAGGATTTGAATGACATTGCTCTCCATCCCCCACTGCCCCAAATGCCATCCAGCCAGAGGTCCCTCCCCACCCCCTTGGTCTGTGACCTCCTGTTGGTCTTTCAGGTCTTTCCTCATGGACATTGACTCTTCTGGGGAGCCTTTGGGATCCCCCTGCCAACATTTCTGTGCTTCATCGTGGCCGCTGACACCAGAATGTGACCTTCAGTTGACTTTTCCTTTGAGCTCCTCAAGAGGAGGAACTCGGTCTTCTTCCTTGCCACACGATATATCTAAAAGCAGGTCCCATGACCAGGGACCTGAACCAATAAGATGAACCAATAAGAGACTGAGAATGGGTGGCCATGGGGGCAGGGGGCGGGGGGTCATTGTCAAGACTGCACTGCTCCTCAGCTGGTGAGGAGACAGGGTGAGGAGCAACAGGGAGAATCAGGGAGGAGAAAATATTGGGCAAGGTAGGTTCGGTCGCTGGAACCCACACACCTGAAATGGAGGTCATTTCCCATTTACTTTTCACTCCATTGAGCTCCTGTCTGCTTGTTATCTTGAGCCTTTAAGGGGATAAGGGAGACTAGACCTTATTATCTCAATAAACATTCATCTGGGGCAGGCGGAAGAGAGGGCACGAGGAAAAGTGAGCCTGGATGGAGGTGTGTGTGTGTGTGTGTGTGTGTGTGTGTGTGTGTGTGTGCGTGTGTGTTGGTGGGCCAGAGGAGGCTGTGTGTAAATTCTCTTCTGAGTCCTGGTGGGGAACAGAGGACACACAGGCAACACTGTGTGCGTGTGTGTTGTTGTTGTTGTTGTTGTTGGGGAGTGTGATGGTGTGTGTGTATACATGTGCCTCCATGTGTGCACACTGGTGGTGTTTGTATTCACAAGTGTTTGGGGGCACTGTGTTGCTCCTCAATAAATGCACTGGCATCTGTGCACCTGTGGGGATGGAGGAGGATGGGTGGTGGGGACCTGGAAACCTGGAACATTGGCAGTTGAAGTTCCATGATTTTGCTGATGGTTGTCCTTTCACGGAGCTATTCCTCCTCCAACATTTTGGAGACTCCTCTCCGGCACTTGCGATGCGGTAGCATTTCATTTTCCCTCTTGTCACACCCGGCAAAGGCACATAACTCAGAACCCAGTATCGCTGGTTTTAAATTTTTATTTAGAGAGAGAGTGTGTGTGTGAGAAAGACAATGGCTGGAGGGAGAGGGACCATGGCAGGAAGATTTCCTTTCCCCCCCCCCTACACCCAGACTGCAGCCAAGGAAACCAGAGGGCGAGGCCGCCCACCCAGGAGAACCCAGGGCAAAGCTGGGGGCAGCGAGGAAAGGGGAGAAGATACGCCTGCAGGCCTCACCCCCCCCCCAACCCCCAGGCTCCCCACATCAGGGCAGGCTAAACACGCAGAGGCTCCTGTCTCCAGGGCTGGGGAGAGGCGCCCTCGTTAAAACTCAGATAAACAGTTTATCAGGAGATGAATGAGCCACCGGGCTCCAGAGACGTCTCCCCTTCCCCAGTGTGGAGCCAGATGGGGAGGGGGCGACAGGCGAGCAGGGGCCGACTGAGGAAGGGCTGGGGCTGTCAGGGCTGCAAGGAGCAGGCTGAAGTCCGCTCCTGCTCCTCTTAAAACTTTGTTTCTGAAAGCACATGTTACATTTACTTACCCATTTTTCCACCTCCCACTTGGAACTCTTCTCTCCCCATTTTTCTCCTTCTTTCCTCTCCTCTGCACCCCACAACCAAATTTGTTCCGACTTCACACCCTTAACTAGAATCCCATCACAGCTGGACATACGTGGCACATTATACTATAGGAGGAAGCTGAGCTGATCCCTCCACCGTCACTGGACAGGGTTCCTCCAGTCCCCAGGAAGCTACTAGAAACCTTTCATTCTCTGCCTCAGGCCATCTCCACCCTCATGACCTTCTGGCAGTCAAGAGAGGAAAGTGACAGCTTTGTGGCTGACTCTTCCTCATTTTGCTAAGTTGGGGAAGGCCAGAGATATTATGGGTCTCGCCAAGAGAAAGCCTATCAGACGCTACACTTATGGGACCACCATGCCTGGCCTGGTGCTAGATGTAAAAGATGAAAGTTATTATGCCTTCTATCTTATGGTCGCTTGTGATTCCCTGACTCTCCTTGGATCAGAGAGCACCAGAGAGGTAAATTGACTCACCCAAGATCACACAGCTGGTAGGTTGTCTGGTTGCCTGTATGTTTAGGGACATCCAGTCCCATACCTTTGCACAGCTACCTTAGGCCTACTTTCTCAAGGCCAAAGAAGCAGAAGATTGATGAATTATTATTAGAATCATGATGGAAGTAAGGAAAGATAAATAAGTACCCTTGGGCTTCTCTTGCCTTGACTTGCAGCTGCCCAAGCAATTGTTTGAAGGAGTGCTTCAATTTTCTTGTCCAGGACAACATCTGGGATGGAGCTAGCCAAGACACAAGTGGGCCCTGTTATTGTTCATTATACCTCCTACCCCAGCTCTGGAGGCCCAAGTCCCAGTGCCTGATCAAAAAGCAGAGCTGATAGCCCTCCCTTAGCCCATCTCCCACCCACAGCTACCTTTTGAAGAAAGGCACCCTCTTTGCCCTTCTCCCCAAGTTCCTTCTTTAAAAGAACTACAGAACCAAGAAAAGGGGTTGGCTATTATGTTCCCCCAGAAATTCCAGTGCCCCACCCTGCACTCCCAAAGGCTGGCAGCCATCAAAAAGAGCTCGGCTGTACATGCTGAGCCAACAGCAAGGTGAGACCCTTGGGTGTTGGAGTTGATTTCAGCAGCATTCCCACCCCTTCCACTCTCTTGCTCAGATCTGAGATGATTGGCCAACGGAAGGCAGTGGGGTTTCTCCAAAGAACATCTGTTGAAAGACTATTGCTCAGTCTATGTTCTGCCCCAGGCACCGAGTCAGCTGGACATCCTTTGCCTCCTGAATATTGTACAATTGTGACAGGTGTGTAGTATCTCTATCTTACAGATGAGAAAGTAGAAATTCACCATGGCTAAAATGCCTGTGTGATAGGCCGGGAGTCCAACCTCAGTCCACCTGGTACAGAAGTCTTTTTCTGTTGAGCAATATTTTTTTTGTGCTAGGGAACGAACCCGGGGCCTTGCACATGCTAGGAAAGCACTCTACCTCTATCTAAGCTACACTACCCCAGGCCTCCTTTGTGTTGAGTTCCCCTCTGTATGGCATTCCTTCCTCCATTTGTCATGTCCCCAGAGCCTCTGACTGAACCTCACGGTCATGTCTTCATGAAAACTCATATTCTATGTCTCAAACTCCTCGCTACTCAGACACGTACATACTTTTTCTTCATCAAGTTCAGCTAAAGCTCAGCTCTGCCATTAAGGTATGGGTTGTGTTTAGTCTCAGACACCAACACCCCCAGATACTCAAGTCTACTCAAGCGTACGTGTGGACCCCAGAGTGTGCAGAGTGGGGGGAGGGGCTGCAGAACTCCAGAGTGAATGGGGTAGGTGTGGTTAGAAAAAAAAATAACTCATATTATACTTGTTTTGACTTCTTTTGGGTCATCCTAATGTATTATAAAATCTCAGACTACATTCAAAGGAGAGCATGAAATTGAAAGTGTTACATTTATCAAAAGAAGTCATGGGTTAAAAAAAAAAGTATACCACATCCATATGTAATTTTATAGGGATTTAAACATTTTTCCCATGCCCTTTTAATTTTTTCTTCCCATACTTGTCATCTCTATCCTGACTGGACTGCAAAAATCTTAGGAGGTAGAGAATAACTACAAGTTTTTTTTTTTTCCTTTCTGTCTTTCCCCTGATCACCTGATGTAATTCCTAGGAAGCACTCCTGCCTGTCTACCCCTGAGACCACAAGGGGGGTCCGTCCGCTCCTCACCCTCCTCCTCCTCCTTGGCTCGGTCCTGCACCCTGAGTGGCCCTTGGACTCTCCATGAACAGGTCCCCCAGTCTATTCTCAAACACAGTTTGTTTTTCATTCGCTTTTTTTTTTTGTTTTTTTTCGGTCAGATCTATCCAGTCTGTGACCAAAGGATCTGAATTGATTTGAAGTCGACAAAGAAAGATTGCTAGAACAACAACAAAAAAAAAAAAAAAAATAGCACAAATAAAATACCACTAACTGGAACCTAACCATCTCAAGGGGGTCTGGGTTAGAATTTCCCTTTTGTACTCTTTACTGAAAAATTACTTTCTCAGTTAATTCACAGCAGTGACAAAATTGTTCTGAATTGTTAAGCTTCATAAGACAACAAACTAATGCAAAGGCCCCCCCCCAACACAACAAAAATAAAGAGTGTGGTTTAAGAGCCTACTGTGTGCCAGGTGCCAATTCCAACAACCAATGGGTTGTTCTTGTCTCCAGCAGTCATAAAAGCAAGCTCTTCTTTGGGGCAGCGCCCTGTTAGCCTAATTCTACTGGTTGTATAGGCTTCAAAGTTGAAGAAAATATTTTCAAGTGAAACTGGTCATCCCTTCCAACTGTAACATGCACAGCCTTTCTTCCTTAGACAGATGATTGACCTTTTGAGGGGACGGGGGCAGGCTGAAATGAAAAACTAGATCTTTGGGGAAAGAAAGTAGGGTGATTGAGGCTGTCACCTCGGGACTTCCTAACTCCCACTCCATGAAATCCTGGAGAAAGCCCAAGTCATCCACTCCAAGTCTCTCTTCTCCAGCTTATCCCAGACTCCAATCATATCCACTATAAAGGAAACCGAATTTGGGTTTTGAAGCTTAGATTCATCTCTTCATTCAAGGGAAAAGTGCCTGGTGATGCCATCCAGTACCCATCTCCTCTCAAAGGGAAACTGCTTCTGAAAGAGAAAGCACCACACAGGTTTATTTAAAATCGCAAAACATACTTATGTCACTAACTCCCAAACTAAGATTTACAGTGCCAAAAAAGTGACTCTTCCGAGGTCAACATCGTTATATCAGGGTGGAACATAGCCAGAACTCAGGTCCCCTACTGCCAGTTCATCTTTTAAGTCTTTGCCCCGACTGAGGCCACTGAGGCCAGCGCAGAAGACGCAGCAAGTATTCTTGTGAAATTTGAGGGTGTTGGAGAGGAATCTCAAGAAGTTTATTTATACTGACGGCCTGGAGAAGCCCAAGAAAACATGCAGAACTAGAATGTACCGGTCATCAAACGCAGACACACACAAATGATGTGGACACAGAAGCACAAACCCAGCTACACCGAGTGGACAGAAAAGACAAAACCCACTTCCCTGGGCCACCCCTCCAGCACCACATGTAGGGCTTGCAACAGGCCAGCAGAGGGCGCGCCGCCCCCAGGGAGACGAGAGACCGAGGTACGGAGCTGGGCGGGCTAGGGGAGCCGCAGGCGAGCCGGACGCGCCCCTGCGCCTCGGCCACTCAGGGTGCAGGACCCGGCCAAGGAGGAGGAGGAGGGTGAGGAGCGGACGGACCCCCCTCGTGGTCTCGGGGGCAGACAGGCAGGAGTGCTTCCTAGGAATTACATCACGCTGCGCAACGCTGCGGCTCTTGGACTCCTCTGGCGCATGGGGAGGGGGGCGCTGTATGCTGGGGGTGCGTGTGATGTGTGTCTGTGTTTTGGGGGGAGGGGACTTAAACCGAGCCCGGGAGAGGAAGGCGAGAAGCACCCGGGGAAAACGCTTCATGCACATGGAGAAATTTCTTGCTTAGAACTGCACTGAGAAAAGAGCTCCCGGCACCTCCACGCTGCTCCCCTCCCAGTGCAAAGCACCCAGCTAGTGAGAGACCCCCCACCCCAACTCGAGCACCCCCCGACACCGGCCCTGCACCCTCCAGCCCGGCTCCAGCGCCGCCGCGAGCTTTCCCCGGGACTGGCCCTGGCGGGGCGCCTAGAGCCCCAGTTGCAT